TAGACCTTTCTTGAGTTCCAAAGGGCAGATTCAAACGGTTTCTAATCAGGGCAGGGAATGCAGAAACAAAGGAAAAGCAGTCAAGAAACATGATAAAGAGATGAAGCTAGGTCCTGGTTCCTCAAGGAATACACACACTGTGAAGGAAAAGCCCAGCTGGGCTAACAAGCTAAGTCACAAATCTAAGCGTAACAAGTGTCGGATTACTAATCTGAGTTCTGCTGGGCTAACTCGTAAATCTGAAGTTTAGTGTCAGTCTATTGGGCTAACGAGCTCAGTAACAAATCTAAGTGTGATAAGTGTCGGTTTACTGATGTAAGTTCTGCCGGGCTAACTTGTAAATCTAGTTTAGTGTCAGTTTACTGGGCTAACAAGCTAACTCGTAAATCCAAGCTCAACAAGTGTCAGTAACGTGATCTGTTCCAAATTGATAAGCTCCAGTGTACTGATTCCTTGCTTTTTGCTGTTTGAACCTTATTGGCTAATAGCCCCATACTTGTAATTAACTCTATAAAACCTCATGCGCACGTCTTGGAGGTGCTCAGAGCTTCGGAGCAGAAGCCCCTCTGAGCCCGCCGGTGTAATAAATCTGAGTACTCCAACCCTCCGAGTGGTGCTTGTTTCTTGGCTGGCCTGTCATTTCCGTAACAATACCATTATCTTTTGAGTTCTCCTGCAGGAACTAAGGCCTCCACCCAAGCAGAGGATGGCAACTTCAGGCTGAGCCCAAGATTCCTGGAGCACTAACTGTTAACCTCACCACCAACAACCAATCAGAAGAAAGTCACGCATCCTTGCAGCCCTCACCCCAAAATTTGCCCTTAAAAATCCTTCCCCGAAGACCATCTACAAGTTAGGTCTTACACGTCATCAGTTCTCCCAGCTTGGTCCTGAACCTTTCTCTGCTCCACTTCAGTTTGCTTGGCCTCCCTCAGGGTCGCGCACATGAACTTGCCTTCAACAATGATTTATTTGCAAAACGTTGGCGCCGCATTGCTGCTGGTGGGGCAGCACCATCGTGGTTTTTATGTCCACTTATTTCACAGACCACCATTTCAAATTTCAACACTTGGTGTTTTCCAAACAGGCCTGAAACAAAAGGCAACCTTGACTATGAATTCATACTTCGACGGTCATTCACACCTTCTAAATCTAACGTCACAGGCTGAGACGAAGGGGCTTGTCATGGACTCTCTCATTACCCAAGCTTAGTGGTCTAAGCTTTGGCCTTCCCTTGGGGCAAGCTCTCCGCTGTACGGACACCTGAGATTCCTCCAAGATGGCAGCGCTCACTGGGCCGTTTCTTTCCCGACCGTTGAGGCAAACGTCGCCGGCGCCATGTTTGCCTTGTGTACACCCGAGCCTCTGAAACCTCTGCAGTTTGTGCAGCGTTGTTTGAACCCTTTCAGCCTCCCCGCAAAAAGGCCAAGGCATCAGGCGAGGGAACAGCTGAGGGGCTTTTTACCTGGCCTCGAGCCCCTCTCTCCAGCCGTCCCTGCTCCGCGCAGCTATTCAAAGATGGCTGCCCCCAGGGAGCCGCGGCGCCGGCGCGGGCCTGTTTGCGTCTAAGGCGACGCCGGAAGCCCGGCTGCCCGCGCTGCGGGGAAAAGGCCCAGCCCGGCGGGGGCCGCCGTAGGCCGGTTCCGGGGCGGGGCGCAGGGAGCGTGAAGTGCAAGAAGGCGCGCGTTAAGTGCAGCCGCTAGGAGGTCGCGGTGGGATCGAGGGGAATTCAGGTCAGTGTGTGGGTCTCTCCGCGGGACGCGTTAAGGGGTGAGCGGCTCTGGGGGCGTCCGTGCCGGGGGGAGCCGCAGAGTCGGCGGGGAGAGCTGGTGGTCCGGCACCGTGGGGCTGCGGTTGGGATGCCTTTGCTGGCGGGCGTGGACTAATGGTCTGTCGAGAGCAAGGACTGTGTTTGGGGCCATTGCGGCTGTAGTAGGGCTCAGTGACTGAGAGGTGGGAGGGGGTTGGTGTGTGTCAGTGAAAGCGGTG